TACTTGGCTTGGCAATGGTCGAGCCGGAGACGCGTTGAAGCTTCCGCCGTTTGCGGTTGTAAGTGATGTGTGGGAACCATTGGCTAGCGCAGCGCGGGTAGAGGAAGTCAGTGTCGTAACGTCGCTGGCGGACTGGTGTGATAGGGCTTCATCATGAGTGCCATATGTCACCAGCGGTGATTGTGCTGACCGGCTTCGGGAGGCATCTGGATGGATTGTGGAGGAGGCGCCAAGGTTCTGTTCCACTGTCAGCGTGAATGTTGAAGATAGGCGGTCGGAAGTGCGCACCAGTGAGACATTTTGAATCTCTGAAAGTGAGGGGAGTGCTCTTCCACCTGATGGTAAGATATGCCCATGGTCCACATATGCAGTTTCTGGGAGTTGCGGTGACGTCAAGGCGCTGGAATCAGCTGTGTTAACCGCAGCTCGTTGGGCCAAGTTGCCTGTCCCGGCATCGCGTGGGCTGACGGACCGGCGATCGTGGGTCAAGCTTGGGCGCAAAGAAGACGAAGCCTGACCAAAGTTGGAGGCACCAATTTCGTTGACCAAAGCAGAATCGTCATCCAAGAAGCTCGGCTCAGGAGAGTACAAGCTGAAATCGACGTAGTTGTTGGCCGGTCCTGAAGCATCCAGGTACGGCAGCGTCGGCGGACGTAGTGCGGCATTCTCAAACGAATCGGTGACAGAGACAGTTTGGAGGATGTCGCGGTTGGCTTGTAGTTGATCGAAAATGGCGGAGGGCGTCGCGGGTGAACGGCTTGAGTGTGGAGAGAGATGGCCCGCGGGGTCGAAGAAGAAGTCGTAGTCGAATGGGGTGACATTGACGGCCTCGTCGTCATACTGCACGAAGGACTCCCAGGATTCGGGAAAGTCGAAAGATGTGTCGGCAACCTCAAGAGCAGGTAAGATCGGCTCAGTAAACAAGGACGGAGATATGTTATGCTGCGATTGTCGGTCTTTGACGGGACTAGTACCTGGTGCAGTCGAGGTTCTGACTTTCTTCGCTAGCCGAGCTGGGTTGGCGGATTGCGTCTGCGCAGCTGCGGTACGCTTCTTATGGCTTGGGTCGCACCGGACCTTCTTCTTCTTGCAAGCATCACAGGCCTTGATGATGCGCATGAGGTGTGCATGATCCCGTTGCTCCTTCGTCTTGCAGCCACGAGAAGCAGAATTGGTGACATCGCGGCCATCCTTGGTCATGATCTTCATTCCTGGGAGATGAGAGAAGTCGCTGGCTTGTGACTTGGCGGCAGCAGAAGCAGCCTTCTTCGTGATCTTTGTGGGCTTCGTCTCCTGGGCTACCGAGGTAGGAGTCGACACGGATACAGTGCTTGGCGTCGAATGGGACCAGCTCCAGTCTGAAATGACAGGGGAAACGAAGTTGGAGTCGTAGCCGGAATCCTGCACGGGGCTAGACTCGGCAGACACTGTCTGTGTCACGACAGGATAATACTTGAAGGTCTCTCCTGTAAGTTGGGAGTACTCAAAGAAGTCCATCGAAACGGTGGCCCTCTTCTCTTTGATGGAGGCGGGTCCAGGAAGATAGGCATGGATGAGGTCGTCAAGTTGCTGGGTACCCAAAGCAGGGTAGAACTGCAGGGAGGCGCCAAGAAACGGTTGGCAGATTGAGAAGCCCTGGAGAGCGCCAACGGAGTTGTTGCGAGACATGGCCGCCATTTGATTGATGGCGGAAGCTACGGACGGTATGCGGCGGAACGTGGACGATATTGTGATGGACAATCAAGCCCTTGAGATAGAGGTCGGTTCTTCGTTGTAGAGCTGGCTGAATCGATTCGTCTAAGAGATTGTAAGCCTCTACGTTGATGGTTCTTATACCCCGTCCCTGCCAGCATCTAATTCAAACCATCCCAGTTCCCCGCGTGCAATGGCTTGGCACTACCTAGGTATCCGCCGGCCAGTGGGGGGAAATTGGGGGTTCCGGACCAGGCAGACATGACCGGAAAGGCTTGCGTACCTGGAACAAATTCGATGCGTTTTTGAAGAGGCTTCAGAGCGCGTTACTGTAAGATCGTTTTTTGACTGAGATAGATGAGATAGGGTATTGATGATTTCCAGTGGGAAGGGAGGTAAGCCTGAGGAAGAGGAAGGTCTCCGACTTGGGAGTAGCTTCAGCGAGTCTATCACTCGGCGTATCAAAGTCGATGAAGAGAATAACGAGAAAAGGAAGAAGTGGAAAGGCTTGGGCGGGATGGGCGGGCGGGAGTCATGGGTGGTATTTCAGGTTGAGGCAGCTGATGTGCACAGCAGCATCGTCTGGTACCTTGTATCTCCGGCAAGGCGCAGCCTGTCCGTGGTTTTGATTGAACTCGTCGGCGAGATGAAAATGGACTAGCGTCCTCGCGACACCGTTTCGTAGCACAGCCAATCATAGCCGCAAATTGGGGCCGAAGGATCCAGTAGATATTGTGTAATTGGCTGCCCAGACCCACCCCCAGCGCGCCAGACATAAGATTTTCGGCGACCGAATTGGCTCTTGTCACGTGACTGTGAGTCAACCTCGAAGCCAATGGCGGCCGCTCCTGGACGTTTGCACCAGCCATGCAGCTTTAGGCGGAGGGCGGGCTAAAATGCTGCAATGCTGACAGGCGACTTTTGGGACACCGCGTCCATGCAAGAACATCGTTCTGAGTACTTTCGATGCGCCTTTTCTGAACGTCAGCAAGATGCCGCACCCTGTACTATTACTCCTTCGTCTTTCAAAACCCCTGCTCGTAATCCTCGCCCTGGACTCTCAGCTGTCTGGTTTCCGGCTCAAATCATGGAAAGGACCGAAGGAGAACAGGATGTTGGAAGACTATGGCTTGGGATACAGCGAATGCTTAGGTGTAGTGGGCATCAACAGTCCTCCTTTGAACTGCGCGCACCTTTTAGGACAAGACAGGAGCTGCCCAAGCTGATGTAAGCTAGGTCGTTGATTCACACACCATAGGCCTATTCCACCACCGGTCTTTATGACTATGATGATTGTTGTGTTCTCCCCGAGCGCTTCTCTCGTTGTCGAGAAAAGAGTACTCGCGATTTGAAGGACCGACCCTCCCAGCTGCAACCGTGAACTTCACGAGGCAATGTCAAGAAAGATGACTCTGCCGCGCGTTGAGCCATCCCGCCAGCCGAAGGTCTAGATATGCAGGCTGCAAGGAGTAAGAACATAATAGAGATTCTCTACTGACCTCATTACTGCTATATTCTCCATAGGTTTCAATTACTTTTATTATTCCTACAAAATGTACTGTCTCATTGTTAATGTTGTCCTTCTTACCCTCGTCACTATGACTATCCTCATCGTCCTCACTGCTGAGCTAGTAGCGAAGGGACGGTCGACCGTATCGAAATCGACTAAGCCTGGCAGAGCAGTACGTTCAACAGACAAAGGTGTGTTCAGTTCCAAACCTAAGACTGCATCTGTCCGAGTTCTACGTTAGGATAGAAGGCGCCTGACCAAGCTGTTTTTGTCGAGACCCCCGCATGTTGGGGATGAAAGAACCTTTACATAAGGGCATATCTTGCTAAATAAGACGAGTGGTGATTCTGTAGGGACGCAGCCCCGCTTCTGTCGGTCCCTGGATCGAAAGGCAATGGGCCTAGTTGCCATGTGACACCGAAGTAGCAAGTAGGGATGTGGCTGAAGTTAACGGGGCTTTCACCTTGCGGTTGTGGTACCGGAACGTCACCAGGAGGATAGCCACTTTGCCAGGCGAATTTGTCGATTCCTAATATGGAGCGAAGCCTGGATGAGAGCTCGTACCTTTCTGGTTTTGCTGGATGCGGTGGCTCAAAGTGTAAGACTGAACTCAGAGGCTGAAGCCGGCCACCTCTTCCCCAGCCTACCATGGCTGCCTAAGTTGCGGACCATGACCTCGAGTACCAACTGAGAACGGCCGACAAACGGCACTTCGGGTGCGAGGTGGGAAAGTAACAATCCCTCGTTAGCTTGCACATGGCAAAGTTGCAATCTTTGGAGAGAGCAGTCAGAACAAATTAAGACGCTGACAGTGAGTTGGACTCGTATGCTTGCTGGCTGTATTGCGTTGGTGTCACTCTACCCATAAGTTTTCCGTCAAGACTGTACGCTGTCGGCGGTGTAGGCTCGGGTTGAATACCAGTCCGCGTTCAGCGCTATTTCCACTTAGCCAGGCCTTACACACCCCAACAGATCGTATGCCTCTCTGCTCCACGGTCCGCCATTCGCTTTCGAGAATCCCGGTAACTGTACGATAGACGTGTCCGCCTCTTCGGGACCGGAATTCTTGTCCGAGTCGGGCTTTGACGCAGTGACACTGGGGAGTATCAAGCTCGAGTTTGCTGGAATGAAAGATTGTGGGATGGCACCGGCGGCGTCAGATTTTGTGGCCGCCTTACGCCCTCTGGTAGCCGGGTTGGCCAGTCGAGCTCCTTTCGTTGGTTTCGGTACTTCTATTTGTAAGATGCCGACTCCTTCGTTGTTTGAGAATCCGGGTGCCTTTTCATTTTTTCGTTTGTTGACTTCTTGGCAGAAGCTCGACTCTGGCTCAGAAGATTCGTCACACGCTAGCGATCGTCTCTGGTCAAATGAACCAATTATCTCCTTGCTCTTAACGCTCCTCCGGCCAAGAGATGCCAGCCGAGGTCCAACATGAACACTCCTGGCTTCCGTATCCTGATGCGCATCACGCATAGACTGTCCCCCTTGCTCCCGAGGGTGTCGACAGACCATGCCTGCGTCAGGCAAGGTCGTCGCATCCGTGTCGCGAGATGTCTGCAGCCACTGATTGTCATTGTGGCACGTAGACGGTTGCTGTAGCCCATCAATCCCATCGCCACTCCTACTTAAGTCGATCGACATTCTATCATTGCGCCGTGTCGTCTGATCTTTTGAAGTGACTGGAAGGTCATCACCTTGTTCGATATTAGGACTGCAACTGACTCTGGGAACGAACAATGAAGTATCTTCACACGCCACCGTCATTCTGTCCGTTGTTGCATCAAGTTCCGACAATCTGTTAAAGTCGGCGGGGCTTCTTGATGTAGCTCTGTTTGACATGTTTGACACCATCAACAAGCCACGCTTCTGCCTGGACTTGATTCGTAGTTTTGCTTTGGGCTCGTCTGGGGTATCAGGTTGGACAGCAATTGTGGATACAACATCGCACTTCGTCCTCTCGCCTTCTCTGACTGCATCCTTGGTGGATCGGTGTGATGTTTTTGAATCAGTGCTGCTCTTGCCAGAGCAGAGGTCGCTGTGATGGGCCTTTTTGTTCTTGGGCTTCTGGGTTTCGCGCAGGGACGGCGCCATATCGCCTGTCGTTGTCGACGCCAAGAAAGAAACCTCGTCCATAGTGAAACAATCCGGTTTTTGAGATTGGGTGCCCTTCTCTCGTGGATACTCAGTTGATATTGGAAACTCGTCGGGGCTGCGGGGCAATTGATCAGCCCGCAGTACTGGGTTCGCTTGCGGCACTTCGCAGGGTTTCACAACTGCGATAGCTTTGATCTTGCGAATTCCGCTGGGCTGACCAGAAGCAGCCTGATGTTTTTGGAATGCCCTGGTGCTGGAGGTCTTCGAAGGCGTTTGTGCATTAATCGTGCCAGCAGGCAACGGTTCATGGGTAATGTTTGCTGCTCGGATGGGGCGAGCAGAACGACTTCCTTCATTGATGGGCGTGATCAGTGGCTGGCTGCGGATGGGTGCACTAGCCGACCACGATGATAGAGTCAACGTGGTGCCGAACAGATTCTGAGCATAGCCAGACTTGCTCGGAGGCGACACGTCCCTCTTCCTCCTCTTTGCTGGCCTCTTGTCCCCGTCCTGGGAGCTTGGAGCCTGGGCCGCCATGCGATCCTCATAGGGAGATGTGGTTGGTATCACCGCTCTTCCTTGCGGTTCACGCGGGGTGTTGAAAACATCGGCCAAGTGGCGTTGCTTGAAGTGGGCATGCGGTTGTTGCTGTGCTTGGTGTTGTTGCCGCCGCCGCCGCTGCTGCTGCTGCTGTTGTTGTTGGGGAAGCAGTGAATGACGAGTTGCAGAGAGGGGTGAGCTGGCAGCAGACAAGTGAGAATGACGCTGCTCCACGTCTCGGGCTCTCTTGTCGAGGAGTTCAGTAAGATCCTGGTCTTTGGTGCCAATGCATTCAGCGACCTGTACAATGACGGCGCCGCGTTCCAGGTTGAACTCCTCGCCCTCGCCGAATTCAAAGTCCTCGTTCCAGTGCATGTCGCCGATGAAGTTCCCCCTCTCGTCATAGACCATGATGCGTTTGTTAAAGGTGTGGAACTTGAGGCGACCATCTTGCCAACGCTTTTGCTTGCGCTTCAGATCATGGGTGAATAAGCAGATGAACTCGTGGACCGGAGCAGCGGCCGGTAGACCCGAGGGCTGGCTATGACGGTTGATAAGAGGTATCCTAGTCGCCATATCCGTGATTGGAACATGGTTGTCTCTATGGCGAATACTGAGTGTTGGGCCGTGATGAGATGTGACGGGGGCAAGAAACACAGGACGCGACGCGACACGAGACGGCAGATAGGCACGCCAGGTCAGGTGACCCAGATTGCCTACCCACCAACTTAAGTAAACCTAGTGCCTTGCCGTACCTAGGTGTGTGCCTTGCGGCTGAATGTACTCTGTAAGGTGCCAGGGTATTACACACGGCACCCAGGCGCACAGGTAAGGAACCTTAAGACGAACATGGCCGTCCCGCAAGGGCCTTCCTGTGCTCGCTGCTCCATGCAGCTCTGAGGGAGGAAGAGGAACCCTGAGATTTGCGATGCGCCAGGACGATAAACCTGGCTGACGGCAAACTTGAAGTCCCATCTTGGTCCGCTCGCAGCGCCCTGAAGGAGGTGGCTGGACTCATTTTATGAAAGTTTCTTGTCAGGGTGGAAATCCATGAAGCCTCAAACCGCCCAGGACCGTACTTGTGCCGGCTGCCGGGCAGGGCCTGCTAAGCACCCCCTCAGGGCAGAGGGTTGGGACGCTACGTTAATTTTGGTTGGCTTCCGCGCCTGACAAGGTTCCAAGGCTGGCTCACACCGCCGGGGGTTGCGTAAACATCCTTCCTCAGCTCCAAGTCTTGTTGGTTGATGCATCTCCATACCTGATACCTAGCAAAGTACGGATGTTCGTCTGTTGGACGTGAGGCACGCCGTGCCAGTGCGATTACGCTCTAGACATCTCAACCGAGCTGCTGTTCTGCTAGGTGTCCGCTTGTCCCTGTCCGCTTGTCCCTGTCCCTGTCCCTGTCCCTGTCCCTGTGGCCTGTCCTCTCCCCATGTCCCGCCCACCTTAACCTGAGTGTCACTGTCAGGTCCGGGTAGGCATCGTATCGGCAAACTCCTCAAATATTATCCAACCTCCCCTCCTTCAAACCCCTCTACCTTACTTTGTATACCGCCGCCGTCGCACCACCGCCTGTGCGCGACACCCACGCGCTTCCTCGACTACAGCTGCGCCCGTGTTGTTGTTTGCTGCTGCTCCTACCCCCCCCCCCCCCCCCCCCCCCCCCCCCCCCCCCCCCCCCCCCCCCCCCCCCCCCCCCCCCCCCCCCCCCCCCCCCCCCCCCCCCCCCCCCCCCCCCCCCCCCCCCCCCCCCCCCCCCCCCCCCCCCCCCCCCCCCCCCCCCCCCCCCCCCCCCCCCCCCCCCCCCCCCCCCCCCCCCCCCCCCCCCCCCCCCCCCCCCCCCCCCCCCCCCCCCCCCCCCCCCCCCCCCCCCCCCCCCCCCCCCCCCCCCCCCCCCCCCCCCCCCCCCCCCCCCCCCCCCCCCCCCCCCCCCCCCCCCCCCCCCCCCCCCCCCCCCCCCCCCCCCCCCCCCCCCCCCCCCCCCCCCCCCCCCCCCCCCCCCCCCCCCCCCCTGCCATACTGCAGGTGGTGCTGGCTTGAGAGACAAGCACCAAATCAAGTCATATGTTCATTCCTACGTGTGAAATACCCCGCCTCATCGCGTCTACCCTCTCGCTCCCGTCCTCCTCGCCATTCCGAGCAAAATGCAGTCCATGCATAGACAATTCGGAAAGCTCATGAACAAGAGCCCTGGTGACAATGCCAAAATCGCCGCAATTCTTCACGACTACGAAGACGCAGACAATCTGCTGGGGAAGGTACTCTTGCCACCAGGTTTTTCATCTTCGTCACACTGACACACAAACGCCAACTGCCTTATGAAAACTTCATTGCCCTCCCTTTGGCCACCCAGTCAACTAACGTCTTGTCACCTGACTACAGATCATCGAAAATACCAAGCAGCTTCGTGACTCTTGGGTAACTGTCGGAACTACTCAGTGGGCCATCGTCAAGGAATACGAAGGGTTGTACGATCCCATTGTCGGTGCCACCGAAGGTCATGGCCGACCTAGCATTGCTACCCCTCAACAGCAACTCGACCGAACTTTCAAGCTCCGTGAAGCTTACTCTGATCTCAAAGACGAGTTGATCGAAGAAGTCGCAGCCATTGACGCCCAAGTCATCCGTCCTGCTACCGAGGCCCGCGACTATCTGCAACCCATCCGGAAGACCATTAAGAAGCGTGAGAACAAGAGGCTTGACTATGAAAAGGCAGAGGACAAGGTGAAGAAGCTACAGAAGAAGACTGGAAGAACGCCCAAGGAGGATGCAGCGCTGTCCAAGGCAGAGTTCGACATGTCTTGTGCTTCGGAGGTGAGCTACCTCATGACCAACTTGCACAGACGATATCACGACCGCTAACAATACACTCTCGCAGGAGTTCAGTGTCGCAGATACCCACCTTCGCGAAGCTCTCCCGCCCATTGTCGAAGCCACTTTCACATTGATCCCCCACCTTCTGGCATCCCATGTTTGCATACAGAACAGGCTTCTTGGCTTGTACTACACAGTACTGCACAATTACTGTGAGGACCACGAGTTTCCATCTCCACCGCCTCCAATGGAGCAGGTGGTTTCGACGTGGTCCTCTGCGTTCATGCCCATTAGAAAGGAAGTAGAATCCATAAGCTGCATGGCCCACGGCAGGGCCTGGCGTCAACCCAACCCAACCTCGTCAGCTCGGAGTCCTTACTCGCGGACCCCATCAGGCATGACGTCGAGCAGCGAGGCCACCACCCCCACACCTCGAATTGTGCGAATTCCTTCATCTAATTCGGTTGGGCGGCCTGCGCCCCCTCGCGACCCGTCTCCTCAGCCGAGTCCCCAGCCAAGGAGCACAAGTGCATCCCGCGTTCAGCTCGGCTTGCCAACTGACTTCACAACGGCCACAGCACTTGGAAGCCCTCAAGGTGCCTCTCGAGTATCACCGGCATATACGACTTCCAAATCAGAACACTTTGGTCACCAGTCAGGGATTTCGGCAGGCAATGGTAGCATCGTTGCAGGCAAGAAGAAACCACCGCCACCGCCGCCGGCTAAGCGTGTTCAGGTGCCCGATGAGTTCGTAGTGGCACAGTATGATTTTGCCGGTGGCCAGGGCGACTTGAGTTTTAGGGAAGGGGATAGGATAAAAATTGTCAAGAAGACGCAGACCGACCAAGATTGGTGGATTGGGGAACTTGGGGGGATTAAGGGCAGCTTTCCTGCCAACTACTGCAAGACGGCTTGAGGGACTGTGTCTTATGCTTCATTTCAAAACGTGCCTACATGGTAGTTAAACGAAAATGCTAATAGCCATGTTTCCGTCGATATCTTGTTGAGCAAGAGAACTTGCGGCTGCCGAGGTTGCGCGATGCATGTCATCTGGACAGGTCGTGCCCACTGGGTCTATCTGAAATGGTCCTGGATGGCATCTAATGAACAATGTTACAACCGCTCAACTGGCTTTCTTATTTCAAGGGCAGACTTCCCTATCACATTGGCACCTAGCTTTATATTTAGAGACCGCCTGTTTTTTCCTGTGCTAGAGCGACTACTTTCCTTGTGGGTATATAATGCCTTACACCGCTCTATTGTCGTCGCCGTTTTGTGACTAATATTATCGTTGTTATCGTCGCCGTCATCCCTGATGCGAGTATATTGGTACGGAGGTAACATTGTCGCCCAGGCACAGGAAAATTAGGGGGTCCTTCATGTTTAACCAAATTGGCCCCGCGACTAAAGAAAGGCATGAAGTGGTAGAGGAGCAGGCGCGAAGAATTCAACTCACGGGTGACTAGTGGCAAGTTAAGAACCACGCACCTCAGTGGTGGATGTTGTGTTGTATCAGTGTCTAAATACAACGCCCGTCTATGTCTTCTGTACAAGATAACTACCCACCAACTCCTGATAGGAATGTGCGCAAGGGCACACTGCCCAAATATGAAACGAATGAGGCAATGTAGGCCACACCCGCGATAAAGACCGACTTGGTCTGATGCAAGCCCAGCTATGCCTAGCAATCATGAGGGTATCATAAACCGTAAAACGATCGTGTCCGGCCACGCTATTCGCCTTGGACTTTTCCACCTTTTTTTGCGATGCCATATGCTCTGCCGGTCCGACGTGGACTTTCTGCCTTCCGATCGGCTGTTCGCCGCCTAAAAAGCCTGAGGACCTGTCTCGACTGCCGGAGATGTCGCCCCTTCCCTACGAATACGCTCCTCTTCTGCCCGCAAAACACGGGCAATTTCATCATTGCGGCCCCCATCCAGATAACCAACATCCTCGCCTTCGAGGTTCATGGGCGTGACGGGGCCAGGACTTCCAAGGGGCAAGAGTCTTGGAGAAATTGGTTTGTGGGAGCCGGACGTTCCGATGTGGTGCAGGCTTGTCAAGGGTACCCCATTCAAATTCACAGTGGAACTAGAGGTTACAGTGCTCTGGCTAGCCGCGCCGCCCAATACTTCGCTCGCAGCCAACCTCGCTTGCGCGATCATGTCTCGTTGGTATTGCTGAAGCTTGCGGCGGACCTCAGAATCTTGTCTCGAGGACCTAAAACCCTCACGAGTCGGGATGTGGCCTCCAGACCTCGTGGATGATGCCCGAGTATGAGGCGCAGATGGGCCTATTCTCGTCGGATCCTGGCTTCCCCGGCTCTCATAGTTAGATGGATAATACTTGCCCATTGGCAGTGGAGTGTCGTGTATGCCGCTGGGTAGATACGAGGCGACGGGAGTGTTGGATCGTGACGGATCGGATTCAAGAGCCATCGAGGGCGACAGGTGGGTTGATGGCGCCATGAGTATGGGTAAAGGTGTGCCGTGAGGCTCGACGTGTGAGGAGGAATCGCGTGTCAGGCAGACAGAGTGGTGTCGGAGCGGACCGCCGTCGGCATGAAAGGGGTGAGTACGATGGATTCGGGCTTTCGGATCTTCGTGTAGCGGAAAGTAGCCACTGCAAACAAGCAATCAGTTGTTTTGGTCCTCATTCTCACCAGTTCAATGGCCGGTTTTCAGAATGGGAGCGACAAGGTGGAGTGTACACATACCCAGGAACGTCTCCGCGGGCAGACAACGGTTCAGGCGGTGTGTGCGTAGGTGCGGAATTGATCTTCCGAAGGGAATGCGGCAGCTCAATAGTAATTGGGCGACTGCTGTTATATCTTATGGCTTGAAGGGATGTGAGGTCAAGTTGGGAAGGCGCGGATGTTTCGCCTATGAAGTAATCGGCGAGTTAGTCCTCGGCGGGGCAGGAAAACGTGGGATAGGCAAGTGGGCTATGTTGGGTCGAATGGGGGCGAAAGGGGACGAGGTATTTTTTTTTAAATAAAATTGGAAGAGAAAAAAGGAAAGCATAATTCTGCGTGAAGGGCAAAAAAAAACATGACGCAACGTTGAAGGGTCCCCAAAAGCCATGCGAGACAGACGAGAAGGATGTAGAAAAGCGCTTAGGCCCGGGAATGACCCGTCCATAGCGCAGAATGACCGCGAATGATGACGATGGGTGCAGGGTCCAGCCATGGAATTTGCATGGCCAAAAATATGTACCGCAGTATGTGTGAAAGCTGCACTTGGCACAGCCCAGAGCCTATGAGGGGGCCTGTGAGGGGTCGCATGCCGAACAACGCAGCCAACCCAGCGCAGCACCCTCAGCCCTCAGTCATTGGCCTCTGCACGCAATGCCATTGTACACCAGGCGGCGGTGCCCTGAAGTAAATGAAGCGCTCTTGTTAGAAGGCCTAGTTGTCGATGCCCCCAAGGAGCTCGCACTCTGCGATACCCCGGACGCTCAGGTTGATCGTACCTTGACAAAGGCACGAGAAGCGATTTTTCCAAAAGGCCCACGCGGCAAGTAACGCAACGAGCGGGTATCGGCCAGCTGGATCGGTCTGACGGGACGGCGTCCATCAAGTAAGCGCTACCACCCTGAGGTGCTCTGCCGTGTCCACCGTGCCACAGTATCACGTTGCTCGGACAGATCAATAAGTAGGCAAGGTAGATGGTCACCAGTCGCAATCCGCCAACCACTGACAACTGCCTGACTGATGTTCGGAGTCAACCCCGCGTTGGACCGCGCCAGCTCCCAAGATACCGTGCAACACTTGCAGGACGGAAAAAGGAGGCACAACGGTATGGGGTAGTGCGAGCTAGTGAAGAGGCTTTGAAGGATGGAATTAATGGCAAAGGGTTATGTATCTGAGGTGGCGACAAACTTGAGCGCGCGCTCAAGGTAAGGTGAGGTACCCTGCACTGCGATCCCCAATGCCCTCCGAGGGCCTGCGCCCCGGCCGCCGGACCCGTGCACAAGCTGACTCGGTGGCGTCCCGTCGAGGAGGGACTGCCACCCCCCGCGCGGGTGGTTTGCAATGACAAACGGCCAGCCCCGCCAGTCGGTGCATCGGCCCCGAAATAGGTCGATTGGGATTAGAAACAGAATGAACATGATACAGGCTAGAAGATGGCATATGGGAGCGTTGTGACCAAGGAGAGGCGGGGCTGCGAAGACGAGGGGAATGGTGTGCCAGGGAAGTCGAACAAAGATGGATCAAGAATTCGAGCCCAAGAATAGCAAATAAATGGTGGAAATCAAGGGGGAGAATATAGACGAAACAAAACGGTGTGACTTGCCTCTCGGGGAGCATAATTCTGGCGCCGTCGTCAACTTGAGACTATCAAATCCCGTCTTCTCTTGCGCCGGCGTGTTGAGTCCAGACATCAGCAGGTCGCAGTGGTCGTCAGATCGAGAGCTGGCAGAGGCCACCGACACGTCTGAAGAATTGGACAAGGTCCGTCCAGGCATTGCTGGCCGTCTCGTCCGTGAGAAATAGGCTGGTGGCTTGAATGAACGACCCAGGCTCGCCATTGTTGATGCTTGCCCCCGTCCGTCCTGCTCCTCCCTCTCGAAACCTGATCGTAGACCTTCTTCCAACGGCTTGCTCATGCCCCTCGGGAAAGGTACGAAGGCGCAACGTAACGTTCCTGTCGGACTGCCAGATTCGATCGCGGTCGAAAAGATGCCTTTGACAATTGGTTTGGCAAATGGGGCCGACACGTCGCCGTTATCGAGGATACTGTGCTCTTATCACGATGTCCTAGGAGAAATTTGAGTGAGGCCAGGAAGGAGTGTAAAATATGGGCAGGCGAGGTAGGGAGGTAATGTAAATGGCTTATGGGGATGTTGGCGGCGTCGACTGGGGCGTTGCGGCAAATGGGTCCCAGTCGTCCTGTCGCCCTGTCTCCTGTCGTCCGGTGGTCCTTCTGGCGGTCGATCGTGCGTGCGTGGAGAAGTTGGAATTAATGCCAAGTCGCCTGTAGCGCAAGCGCTTTGGTCTGGTCTGGTCTGGTCTGGTCTAGGAGTCGGGGCCGAGATGCCGGGAGGATGGATATTGATTTTTCGCCTCGAAAGATGCGTAGAATGGAATTTGAAGAGCAAGGACGTGGTAGTGATGCCTTCCAATGTCATTTGCACCGTTCCTGGCCTCTTTTCACTTTGGACCAGAACTAGAGAATCAAGACTTGAGAAATGGCACTGAATGCTGGCTCTATCGACTCCGTTCTTACAACAGCCTCTGCAGCTTTCTTCTTTTCCTCCCTGAAGTCGATACCTGCCTAAACAAACAGTAGAGTGGCGGCACAGAACCTTGCTAGATAGGTTGCCTCCATAATTAGGTACTTTCCTTGGTATCTACCTCCCACCCTCCCTATCACAGGGTACTTACCTATGCGGCGGTGTGGGTGGTGATCCGATACATAGTACATCAAAGTCATGAAAAAGAAGGGGTCCACCTCAGGGTCCTCGTCGGTGGCTTGCTTCACTGACTACTTGCTGCATTGGGGAGAACAAGGTGCCCGATTTGCAAAGAAGAGAAGCTAGGTACTTACTTCTTGATTGGGCTGCGACATTGTCGTCCAAGATGATTGGGTACCTATCTGTGAGAAGGAGCCTCGCGAAGTATCGGTGAAGCTGGCTTGGCTAACATTTGATCGCACTCGGCGTCACCTCGTCCGTTCACAGCAGCGCACACTCGCATCAGCGTCGGATATCACAGCACAGGCTTGATTGATTTCGAAAGTGGTTTTTCTTGCGCCTGAACCTGCAAATCCTTTGCCCACGTTTCTCATCCATTTCATCCCGGGTGTCTCGTCTGGAAATACCACTGTCGATCTCTGGCGTTGATCGTCACTGACCGTGCAAGCGGCCAAGCCTGCCTGAGTACGGGCAGTAACCAACCCATCCTGGATCTGTATAGGCAGTACTACCGTAGCCACTTGTTAGATTCGCAAACCGACCCCCCTGTCTACGGGAGACGGATTGGTCAAATAATTACTAACAGAACTACTTCCCCACAGCTGACCTATCAAAGCCTTGTATACAGGGGTTGAGCGGTTTGCGAATCTAACAAGTGGCTACGGTATCGTAGCGCCATGATTGGAGGCTTGCACTCTACCTAGCCACAGGAGGCTCTATCCCTTCCAGGTTGTGTGAGGTACCTACCCCGCACATCACCTCCCATATCAATCATACCTTAGTGTAGAATACTTAAAGTCATCTCATCCTTTGAGAGATGAAACATCTGCAGTCCCCCAAGGCCACCAGAACTGCATCCATCCCCCCGGTCGTTAATGGTAGCCGCCGTCGCCGCCGGAGCCGCGAATTCTGCTGCTTTGCGCAGGGTACTGCAAGTGAGAGGGCCCCTAACCACCAAATACTCGTGGCTGGCCATGAGAGGGTTTGCATCGCGGGACCGGAGTTCTTATTACCGGCCACACTACAGCACAGTGACAGTTTTTTCTCCTTCACCCACGAGGCGCACCTTAATCTCTGTGTCTTCCGAGGTACTCTGTCACACTCTCTGACTGCTTTTCTCCGCCCAAGCCGGCGGACGTTCATGCTCCAATTAACTGCATGGCTAGAGGATAGATAGCAACACCACGACTGAAGTGTACCGAGGGGGTTGTTGAGCGGAACGGTGCGGGTCCAGGGAGTACACTACCTAAGGTCAGTGAGATAGGTAAGACACCTTACCTTGCAACGAAGGAAGGACCCTTTATCCGTACCATCGCATCACTAGGTAGAGTATGCTGCTTAGCTCCTTCGCAAATTGTGGCGAACCAACCCACTCGTACATCCAAGCTTCGGTGCGTATTGGAGGCCGGAACAAAATGCGGAGCGCTGATCTCTTGGCCGATCGCTACCAAGTTCAACAGGTTGGGTAAGAGCCGGAATCCCTCTTGCTTGGTCTCCTCAACCCAGCGGGAAGGCTTGAGGGGTTGAGGGGGCGGGCGTATTACGGATAGGTACTTTGGTTTTGTTACCCAGTTTTTTAGTGTTCTAGAAAGGGATTTTTTTATTTATTTTTTATTTTTATTTTTTACTAATAAGCTTCAAGGCATCAACAGATACTACGGATAGGTACAACGTCCATCTCCCTCAAGGCTGCTAATGCAGCAAGCGGCTGTTGTGATTCGAAGTTCGTATCCTAGGCACGGTACCTCAGCCACGAAGTCAGTATCACTACTCTGTACTGTGCTGCTGGTTTTTGTCGGCCAAGTCAAGCAGCAAGGAACCTGGCTGCGACTTTTACTAGCACAGCAAAGCCTCTGCTGACTTGAAACATGCACATGGTGACTTCGGACTGCGAGGCTTGTCTGCCAGGTTCCGGGCATTTTGGGGTCCATGCGTGGCGCTCACGTCTAGCTCTTCTACTTTCCTGTGCCTACATATGGAGAGTGCCGTGCTGTACTCGTCGATTGTAGACATTGACGATAGCTTCGATTGCAGTTTCCTGAATCGCGCCGTGCTTGCTAATGTTGACCACAGGGCGTCAACGAGCGTCGTGTGCTAAGTATCCGTACGCTCAAATGTTGACCAGGGCTTTGAGGCCATTACGTCACTTGTCTGGCATGGGGTTGCCCTGCTCGAAACGGAGTTGTGGGGCTTCTATGCACTTGAGAGGAGAGGACGGGGATAACGACCAGCGACTAGGTTGGCAGCCACGCAGCCCCCGATAGAAAGTTGGTGGGCATGAATTTATCCCTCACTGCGTCGTGCTAGGGGACGTTCCCTGGAGAGCCAGGAGGAACATCTCCGGGCGGGCATGACGTACCTGCTCTGGACCAGATGAGTGTTAATAAGTTAGCCTTTCGATATCGAACGAGTCTCGTTGCCGACGATGAGACGCAATAAGCATGCGACCTCGCACTGGCATCAGTGCGATTCCTCGATGTACTGCACATGCAGCAGTGTTCGTTGTCATGCCCGATCCTCGTCCATGGCTCCGGGGTCCTATGGAGCCCTCTGGAGCTGCGCCGTGAACATTCGGCGACTGGCCCGGTACATATCGCTACCAGTCCGTTTTTGCGAATCTTCAGATCGTCCTCTGCGTTTCCGCGCCTGCACTACGAACACATCCCTGAGATGCAACCTGGGGTGTAGTTGTGACTACCGACAAGTGACTTCGTCCACATGTACATGCCTGAGTGTTTCTGTCACAAGTATCGAGCACGTTCGCTGGAGCTTTTACTCCTTACTAGAAGTTGATAGAAACCCGTTCGCCATCAATATGGCGACGCCCGGATTGGTTATTTATTTAAGCCTGCTAAGCCTCGTTGAGGTTCTGGTATCGTATCTGCGATTAAAACAACTCCAAACGCCAGCATTTGCTGCTAATATTTTAATTGGGAAAGGCTGGTGGAGGCAACACCGAAAGAAACATCGGCGCGTCCGTCCGTCCGAGTACAGACTTTCACAAGATGCGCCAGTTCGAAATGCTCACGCTGGAGGAGGTTTCCCTGCGCGGCCTCTAGACTTTGCCACGGCCAGTGAAGCGCGTACGACGTTCCCGATGACTCCACCAGTAGGCAGCGGAAGCGAGGGTACTGATGAGCCAGAGCAGTGCGTTGGCCAAGTCGACCCAAACTGCATTCTTCATCCGCTGAATATCTTTATCGCCCTCGGCATTTTCCTTGATGTACATCTGTCGATCGAGGTAAGTATACACGAAACAACAGCAAACGGAGGCAATGTCTGGTAATTCAGCTAGTCAGGCAACGTACATTACCAAAGAGTCCAAAGAGAGCAATCCAAAGGACGAAAAGAATGAAGTCCCAGACGAAGGTGGCGGCAAATCGTAGGATGAAGGGGACGCAGTAAAGAAGGGCCGTCACGGCGGAGAGGGCACCGACCACTTCAGCGAAAACCTATCGGGCGTATGTGAGCATTCATCCATTCATCCCCCAAGGATGCTAGGAAATTCGTACCCATTTAGAGTCGACATATACCCCCTCGTTTCTGGCGCGCTGCAGATCGACGGCGTACAGACCACAGACGGTGATGGCCAGGACGAATTGGAAGAAGTGCAGGACGGTGAAGGCGAGATAGCTCGCGGCCATGCCAAAAAGGCCCATTTTGGATGCTGGTGGAGGATTCGGGGCGGGTCGCCGGTTACGGAACGGGGTTTCGAGCTTCGACGAATGCTTGACGGAGGTTCGACGGAGGCGGCGCTAAAGCGTATGATTCCTGGCGATTTAACGGTGGCTGGGGATGACGATGAAGGAGAAGAACTGCGGAATTGGACAAACGGGGCTGGCTGGGTTAGGGAGGGCTTTTAGGGCAATGCAGAGGGTGTCTCGTCTTGCGCGCGCTAAGGGAAGGTCGCGAACGGGTCATGACCTCCCCAAGGCGATGCCAGGTTACCTCATGTGGTGAGTTATCGTGCCATTCAACGCTAGCCAACACCAGACAGGTTGATCGGCATCTTGATGTCGTCCTTGCTTTGACGCCCTGAGTGCCGGTGCCCAGTGCCCTGGCATTTCAGAGGTCTCAAGCCTACTAGGCCTGGGTTGGTTGGTGACTTCAAGGTAAGGTAAGCAATTTTGGATGGCGCCTCTCAAATGGTCCCCTATGACGCACTTGGAGTACCCCTTGTGCATTGCGAGCCAATGGAAGACGCAAGAGCAGCACTCGCAGATGACAGGGGGACTATCATCTGCTGGCCCAAGCTCAAGCTTCCAGGTTACGCTGGATGGCACATGGACAGATGGCAGAAGCTCATCCGGCTCAGTCAGTTCAAAGTCTCTCTACCTTACCTAACTCAGGAACCGACTTGAGTGATTCGCTCTCTTGCCACCTAGGACAACACCGTGAGCCGGGCAAGTAACACGTAGACCTGGTCACGATGCAGAGTACCTGGGAAAGCACTCCTTGTGGCAGTAAATCATTGGACGCAGTATTATCCGCCCCTCGTCAAGCCATGGAGATGCAGTCGAGCCTCCAGTAACGACACAACAGCCGCCCGGTATTCAAGATTCGTAGGCAGGGTCAGATCCCAGGGTCCTGCCCAACTTGGGAAGCTCTGTCGAAGAAGATACGAACAGGCTTTGGATGCCCGCGCCTGACACCCCCCNNNCCCCCCCAGCGCTGGGGGATCCGACGCACCCACACCCACACACTGGACCTCGGGACAGATGGATTTGACCGCTGAGCGCTCCAACGCTCGGCCCGGTCCGGAGCCTCTTTCCGTCGTCCATGTCATCTCTCCAGCTCAGCGGTGCTGCCATCGCTATGTTGACACTCCTGTCACATTCGTGGATTTGTATCACATCGACGAACTGTCATCCGCCTAGCAGATATCTTGCCTGTGTCGCACAATGTCCGACGGGGCTACATCCGATTCCCACGCGGTTGAGTTGCCCAAGCCGCCATTTATACCCGTTCCTGGTCTCCCAAACTTTCGCGATGCTGGCGGCTACCCGATTGACTCTCAGCCGGGCCGCATCCTGAGATCGGGCATTGTCTTTCGCTCCGCAGAGCCTTCACGCCTAACGGACCGAGGCGTCGCCCTTCTCCAGGACATCGGTATCACCCACGTTTATGACTTGCGCTCCGCCGTCGAGCTCAAGCGCCTCGCGCAAGCAGGCACCAATTGCGACGTCCGCGAATGGCCGGGTGCCACCCGTGTTTTCGTCCCCGTTTTCCAGGACCAGGACTACGGCCCCGAGGCTATCGCCCTCCGCTACCAGAACTATTCCAGTAACGGCACCGAGGTGAGTGAAGAGCCCCAAGTCTACGTCTGGAAGGACGTCGGACCCACTACCCGCTCGACCTCTTCCCTGGCCATCTTCACCTCGTCGAAGTTGATAATCTGAAACGTGGCCACAGGGCTTCACCAAAGCCTACGCCGACATTCTGCGCGCCGCTTCAGGGCCGGATCATCCTCAAGACCCCTTTCGGACTATCCTGTCTCACCTCGCCACCCCGGAGATTCCGACGCCGTTGCTTATCCATTGCACAGCTGGGAAGGATAGGACGGGCGTCATCTGCGCACTCATTCTCAGCCTCTGCGGCGTCTCAGACGATGTCGTGGCCCACGAGTACAGCCTGACCGACATTGGATTGCAGGACCGTAAAGAAGAACTCGTTAACCACCTGCTGGCCACCGAGGCCATGAAGGGCAATCCGGAAGGCGCCCGCCGCATGATCGGGTCCCGGTATGCGATAGATCATTTATTACCCCAGCTATGCCAAACCGCCACTGATGCTTCTGAAAACCCTCAGCAAGGAAAACATGCTTTCCACTCTCGAACTGATACGCCATGAGTACGGGTCGGTCGAGTCATTTGTGCAGACGAGATGTCGCCTCTCCCCAAAGGCTATAGAGCAGATTCGCAAGAACCTCATCGTGGATGTTGCAGATGGTCACCGTGTTGTAGACTGGGTTTCGCACACCAAGTACATGCTTTGATGAAAATTCTTTTTGGGGCTCTAAAACTCCTTCGAGGAGCTGCCCGTTCGCTGAATCAACGTCATACAGTTACATGTATACATACAGTAGGTAGTTACAGCCGTCGGTTTTCTGTCAGACCGACGCCAATGTTGAACATGGCACTAACCAGACCTTTGTGGCTCCCCCGTTCTTGCAGCGAATAGCCATTCGCCAGCATGCCGTGCTTTGGTATCGAAGACTACTCAAATCATGTCGAACTTGAATGTTCATGGTACCGATGTGGGGAGCTTAAACTCTCCCTTCTTGCGGTCATAGAAAGGCACACCATATCTCCAGCCCACAGCCTTGCGGCCACGGCCGTTCTTGCCAGCAGCTTCGACGTTCATCTCCTTGAATCTGAACTCAAAGCGACCAGTGTCCACGCGTGTTGTTTCTTCCTCCGCCTTTTCCAGACGCCGCCTCTCCTTCTCAATCAGCTTGTCTTCTTCAGCTCGAGTTGTCTCCTTAAACTTCTCGAACGCCTCAGCTGGCTTCACGCCGCCGTCTATTGATTTCCTCATTGTCACAAGCTCCTTTAAAGGCGATCGCTGGTCGGCGGATAACATGTTCCTGTGGAACGCCTTGGCCGCGTCCTCCCTGTTGAATTGACGCGACTCGGACACGGGGACGAATAGTTGCTGCATCGTGAGTTTGTGTACGTGAATCTCATTGATTGGTTCATGGGGAATTTGAGCCTCCTTCCTCAAGATGGTCTGGGGAAGCATGCCCAGAACCGCTTTAGCATAGGGTGTAGCTAGCTGCTTCTTCTGTTGTATGATTGTTGTCAGCAGGTTGTCTACGCAGAATCCAGAAATGTTGCGAAGAGAGATAGTGTAGCTAATCAGAGAGGCTCGCAGTGCCAAAGGTGTAACCATGTAGTACGTCTTCAAGACTAATCGAATTTTGGAAAGTTGATCATCATAGAATGCTTATTGATCCCGGGGGAACTGGGTAACGGGGGAAGAAAAAAAAAGGTGACAGCTTACCTCGGCAACCCATTGCTTCTCCATCTCCTTCATGCGCACCACCGCAGCAACTCGGCGAACATCGACACCTAGAGAAGATGATACCGTCTTGAGCGAGTGTTTGCTCGTCTTGACTCGATGGTAAATCTCTTCCCTCAGTTCCTCGCTCAACACGGACTGGCTTCTGAAAAGAGGGTTCAGAGGAAAGGGTTGGTCTGGCAGCGATCCCACGTATTTGGGACCATTCTGAGGAGCGTCGCGAAACAGCATGCCACCCTTAGGATCCTTCAGCCATCGGTAAAGACTGTGCTGCGCCTTTGACCGTCTGAGCTGCTGCGACGTTGTGGAAAACTGGCATGAGACTTGCGCGGCAGGACAGGATCGTGACGCTCTGCTCAGTTGAGCATCGCACCACTTGGCGCCAACGGTCAGTGGCGACAATGACGAGCCGTTTCGTGGAGGCATTGTGATCAAAGTCGTCTGGCCGCAGATGCGCACCTAGATTCGCCAATTATGGTGAGATCATTGGAGTGCAGACGGTGTCGAGACACGAAAATTGTGATGGGAGGAAGGAAAGGTCGGTCCGTGATCAAAATTTTCCCTCATTTTCTTCTGAGCTGGGGCACGGACCAGGCCTGGTGGAAAAGCCTTGTTGCCTTAGTCATCCAGTCAGTGCCCGTCCCCTCCCCCCCTTAGTCAGCTGGCCATTTCCGTTCGAATAAGTGCGAAGGAACTTCTTAGATCGATCGTGAACTGCGTGCCCTCAACTCTTCCGATGCTTTTGATCATGTTCCAATATACAGAGTGCTTCGTTTGTTTGCTTATTATCATTATTGCCTGAGTGCTTGCACCATCCGGTCTCACCCTGTACATAATTCTCGTGTATTCCCTTATTCCGGACCTGTCGTGTAGCCCGCGTATTTAGCTGCGTAGACGTTAAGCCCAACCCATGCGCATTGAAACGCTACGAGCGGTGTGTTCCTTCCGATGGTTCCCTTGGAATTGTGTCCCTACTTTCAATACCCTCTGGCCCCAGTCCAAGATTCTGTTGGCTACTTCGGTAGTACGCTGCTGGACTCTTGCTGGATGTTTGTCCCAGACAAAACCTAAAAAGCCATTATGCTGGAACTGATGTCATCGAGAGCCGATTCTTCTTCGCCTTCGTTTTTAAGATGGCAGATTTCTTGGCCGCATCAGTGTCGTCATTTTGTTGAGAGAAGTCTTTCCACCTTCTCCAGCCATCAAAATCGATCAAGGCTTGCATGCAACCCCACTCCATGACTTTCCTCTCGAGCCAAACAAAGTTAACTGGCTGTGTAAAGTGTTAGCATTCGCTTGCCCCGGCGTGAAAACCATGACGGATGCATACCTTGGTAAGGAAATCGTTGCAACCAGCAGCCAGCGCCTCATGTCTGTCGCTTTGAAGAGAACTGGCAGTTAGGGCAACGATGATGACGGGGCTCTTGAAGAGCTCCATGTTCGTCAAACGATCCTTCTCTTCCAGCTCTCCATTCGTCAATTCCGGTACACTGGAAGCAGAGGAGGAGAACACGCCAATGGAATTAACTCGCTCTAGCCTCCGAATTTCTCTGGTAGCATCCAACCCACTCATTATGGGAAGCTGAATATCCATCAAGACGAGATGGAACCCGCCAGTTCTCCACATGGAGACGGCGTCCCGACCATTGACGGCCGTCTTCCACCTCACCTTCAGACGCTTGACGAACGCTTCAAGCAATTTTAGGTTGATTGGATTGTCTTCAACAATTAGAACGTTAATTGGCGGCACCCCGCCGTTCAGTATGCCGGCTGGCAAAGTTGGATGATCCAAATTCTTCTTCGTCTTCTTCGGCCGAGAACTTGCCGGACGAGGCGACGCTGTTCTTGGCGGAGGAGTTGCCACTCTCTGCACCTGCTGCACTTCTGGGGCAGGTGGTGTTGGAAGTGGCGGTGCCACCGGCGCTGTAGCCGATTGCTCCGATGCGTTCGAGTGCGTCCTTGAAGGCGGCAATCTTGGGTGAAATGCGTGTGAGGCGTGGGTCGCCGCAGTAGCGGCAGCAGTCATGGATTGGGCATTAGCGACGTTTAGTATGGTCGGAGAGGACGTATGGGTTCTCCCCAATCGCGGGCGTTCGGGTCTTTCTCTGTATGCGCGAGAACGTGTGCCTCCTGGAGAAGGGATGGGTGGTATTTGGCCAGTGCCGAGCACGGCAATAGAATGTGCGTGGGGTACGTGTGGGTGTACGGTATGGGCGGGATGGAGAGGATGTGCCGGGACGGTGGTGGCAGGAGCAACGACCGGAACGGGTAAATTGGGTGACGGAAGCGCGCCTACAGGAGGAAAATATCCCTCGCCAGCCTCAGATGGCCTACCTTCATCGGCATAATAAACAGCGGTGGCATGGGTTGGGGCCCGAGGAGAAGGTCTCGGGGTACGTCTGCTGGGTATATCGATGACCAGAGCCTCGTCAACCGTTTGACCGCCCGGAAAATACGCATCGAGGGTGCGGCCCATGGGTTCTTCGGGGCCTAGTAGACGGTCCTGCCTCTGCTCGCGTGGGCAGATGCGCAATGTGAGGTCGGGAGAGTCGAAGTGTCTGCCCAGAGAGTTGGCGTATTTTCTCAAAATCATATCGCGCACGTCGTCGACCAAATCATCCTCATTGATGGTAATGAGAGTAGGAGAGGCACCAGGGCGCCTCACCCAAACCTTTCGGGTGACCATGTTTCCGTTGATAGGAAGCAGCGCTTCGACTGCGGAGGGATCGACTTCGTGGTTCGTCTGCGCGGCGTCGAGCAAGGTGCGGATTAGAGTAGTCTGGCGAGGGGGCAGGAGGCTCTGGCGGCGAGGAGGCCCGTCTGGCCTGGGCGACGATGGTGAAGTTGGTAGGACGGCGGCAACAAGCGGCGTCGGGGTGCCGATGGCATAGCTGAGGGGGCCAAGACGGTCGATGTTGTGGTGAAGGGCAGGGTCAGCCTCGACGACTACAGTTGGAGGGGGTGGGGATTGCGGCGGTAGGGGAAATGGCTTCTGGTCTTGCTTATGTTCGTCGACAGCGTGAGGTTCCGACAAGGCAGTGGCAGGCAAGGCCTGATTTTCATTGATGCTTGGGAGATTGATGGTGTTGGCAGCGGTGGTCACGGTAGTGTTCGTTGATGAGCGCAGATCGTTTCCTGTCGGTCCAAGGTCGCCGCTAGTTGAACGTTGGTCAAAAGCGGCAGCGGCAGCGGCAGCAGCAGGTGCAGGTAACATCAGCGCGGCCGAGTCAGCGTTGGTGTGTGGCTTGTGGGCACCCATACCCGAGTTGTCTCCAGTGTCTTTGGGCCGCTGCTCGTCCGTACTGTCAGCGGAACCCTCCGTCACCAAAGATGTGCTGCTCTCAGGCGCATGAACGCTCTCGTCCTGGCCGAGGTGATGGACATGATGCAGGTGATCTGTTTCTTGTTGCTGCGAAGGCGATGGTTGTGGTGGCGGCTGCTCATTGCCGTCTTTATCATGTGGTTCATGGGCAGTGGTAAGCGTAATTGCCGCCTTCAATCTCTGCAGCAGCGGGTGGTCTGCGCCAGGTTCAGGGCTGCCAGGACATGGAGTGTGCGGCTGAGACTGAGACTGGGGCTGGTGATGGGGCTGGTGCAGATGTTGGGAGCTGGAAGCGGTTCCAGCGGCCGAGGATTGCCGCGTGAGCGAGCTGTGAGCATCGCCGTTGGTGCCGTTTGTGGATGCTAGCGAGGGGGCGGCCGAGTTTCTCCGGATGAATTTGGCCCTGAGGCGAGCTCTGATATCACCAGCAGCACCCATAGAAGCTCACATCCAGCGCGAGGGAGGGCGCGACTCCCAGGCGAGAGAGCTGAAGTCGCGTTGGGCTGCAAAGAGTAGAAAACGGCGGATGAGCAGAGCAGGTGAGCAGTCGAGCAGGTGCGGCACAGCTAGGGTCCGTAAATCGTACGTGTCGTGTCGTGCCGTGTCGCGTCGCGGCGTGTGGCGGTGGCGGGTGATATACTCTTGTTTGGTGGTGATCAGGTGGATTGATGGATTGATAACAATTGTTACAAGGTTAGGTCTTTTGTGACTTTGGTCTCAGTGACGCTTCGTCCAGGACCGCGGTAGCAATGAGACAGACACAAAAGGAATGTAAATGCTACGTATGTGTGGAACACGCAAATCTGGGTTGTTGGGTTGGTAGGGACAATAAAAAACAAAAGGAAGAATGAAAGAGGCGAAAGAAGATGGATCGGTACGATGCAGTTGGAGAAATGACAGGCCTTACTCTGGGGGTAGCGGAGAGGACAGGACGGCGTGGATGGCATATGAAGGGATAAATGATGGTTACCTTCCTGGACCTCGACTAGAGCCTTCAACCATGAAGCAGAAGCCTTGGATTCAACAGGTAGGCCAAAGGTGAGGCGAGCAGGTCCAGGACGAGGCACCCCAACAGACAACGTACGCGGGTAACGAATTCGAGGCACCTAAGGTAGCCCGGTTTGGTAAGGTACCTAGACGAGTCGACGATGCCAAATCTGCCAGTAACGCAAGGTCTATCGTTGGCACCTTAGGACAATCGCAAATCATAGATGAGGTGAGAACAGCAGCACCCTAGACCAGACTTACGAATAGGAACGGTACACACGCAGTCAATACAATGGCAAAAAGCCTGCTTTTCTCCTTCATTTCCCACATCTGGCCGCCATCTTTCGTGCTGCCATCGGCCCACCCCTTTTCCCCCTATCCTCATTGGCGCCCTAGTCCCTGGTCGCCTCAGTTCCGACTTGACCGGCTGTCGTTCATCGAGATCTTGCACGCCAGCGCGCCCGTGCTTGCGAATTCCTAAACGGCGTTCCGATCCGCCATACTGAATGTGACCACTTCGTGAGTTTGTCGATAGATGAATACCATGGAAATTCAAGGACAGCTTCCTGGTCAAGATCAACAACAAGCGCTCGTACTTTACCTGGTAGTGAGGGTCCGAACCTGGGCGCCCAAGGCGCAATGTTCCTAAGGCACACTCACAGCTGTACCTACCTACCTTTCTTGACATTACCGACCAACCCACCCGACATGACCCACTTCACCTTCGAAATAACACTGAACTAAATAATGACATATCCATCGGTCCTGCAAGTTCAGCCTCATATCCCAATAGCCCATCGTCGGAGCTTAGCAAGTCTTGACCATCATGTGCGTCGAACCGCAAGAGACAGAACAACGATATGATAGGCCTGTTCCACGCCCTCCAAGGTCGCCCACCAAATCCAACAATATCCGCTCCCACAACCGCCGCCGCGAGTTTCTCACCAGAAATCCCCATTACTTCCAAAACTCAGAACACCAGCTGACAGGTCGGTCTATCGCGTTATTCACACGGCCACATATCATCTACGTTTCGAGACGCTCGTAATAACCACATTCTAGATCCTCTCCTCTATGACAACCTGGTCCGCAGGTTTCAGACGCCCGCAGAGCGAGAGGCAGATGGCCGAGCCAAAGGCTACTCCCGTGTTTTAGAGGAGTCGTTGCTAAGGGGAGAGGCCCGCCTTGCCGACCTCAACAAGTCTTCAGCTAACGGCGGTGATGCTGAAAAGATTGACTCCGCCAAACGCTTCACCACAGAATCTGATCTTTCCCAAACACAGAATAAGCAGGACGGGCTGGATAGATGGACCGAGTTTCTGGCAGAACGTTTTGTTCACGGTCATGATGACGACTTCGACTACACACAAGTCGATGACAACGACGAATACGATGACATGGAGAGACGCGACGCCGAGGACGCATGGTTTGATGCGGAAGACCCGAGTTGGGCTAGCGACGCGGACCACGACATAAATGGTCGTGTCAGTCATGGCACGCAAAAGCGAGGAGAAACTGGTATCCAAGACTTCTGAATTGGGTGACGAAGCCGCCACGAGCGATTCGCTTTGAGACTTTCGTATTTTACAGTCTCCGCTCCCGATTCGACATCCCGTCGCGCCGTTGTTCTTTCCATTTTCATCTTATTCAGCTCGGCTAAATTCGTCTTGCCGTGAAGGGGGCCGTAGCCTCCCGTCCACCATCTTCAAATCCTCGACAGGACTCACATGCTATGCTGAGCGAACGGGCGTCACTTCGGATTGCGCGTGGTCACCGTGATGGGGATTTGTTCGTCTCTTCATATGCTCATAGACGGCATGCAGTATGCTAGCTGAGCAAATCGACCCAGAAGCCGGGGCGACTCCCGTCAGTTATCGGCAGGCTTGGCGGTGACCCCGCTGTGAAGTTGGGGCGCGTCTTGGACAAGGTCCAGGATGGGATAAACCGGGAAAATGCGCTGGATAAATTCAAAGGGCGCTGGCTAGCCGTCCCGCAAATTCCACCTTACCAGGCCAACTTGTGTTCCCCTGTATTCCACAATCGCAATCCCAATATTCATTGGTGGGGAGCGAGACTCCTACGAACATATTTAAGAGCCTTCCTTCCGCCTCTCTCTAGTGCTGATATCGTATGAAGAAAACGTCCTTCGGATATCTCTGTTGTCGGCAAGCTGTGTTCTCGAACAGAGAACCAGTCACCGGAGGGTACAACTGACCCCAACTTCGAACGCCCAAACCCCCGCATTCAACCCCGCACTAGATCGCTACTTCCCCTCTCGTCCCCTCGTTGTGTCAGTCCCCATCTTCCACGATGGCACCCCTCATCGATCACATTTACACGGCCGACCCCTCGGCTCATGTCTTCAATGGCAAAATCTACATCTACCCCTCTCATGACCGGGAGACGGATATTCAGTTCAACGACAATGGCGACCAATATGACATGGCTGACTACCACGTCTTTAGCACCTCGTCGCTGGATCCTCTCGAGCCCGTCGTAGATCACGGCGTCGTACTGAAGACGGAGGACGTTCCGTGGGTTTCAAAGCAACTCTGGGCCCCCGACGCCGCCTTCAAGAATGGAAAATACTACTTGTACTTCCCTGCTCGCGACAAGCAAGACATCTTCCGCATTGGCGTCGCCGTGTCGGACAAGCCTGAGGGTCCTTTCACCCCTGACCCCGAACCTATCAAGGGTAGTTATAGTATCGACCCGGCCAGCTTCGTCGATGATGATGGGCAGGCATATCTCTACTTTGGTGGTCTGTGGGGCGGTCAGCTGCAATGCTACCAGAAGGGTAACGACGTGTTTGACCCCGAATGGCTAGGCCCTAAGGAGCCCGGCGGCAAGGGGGTTTTTGCTTTAGGTCCCCGTGTCGCCAAGCTCACAGAGGACATGCACCAGTTTGATGGTGAGGTCCAAGAAATCCTCATCCTTGACCCCGAGACGAAAAAGCCCATTCTGGGTGATGACCATGAACGTCGCTTCTTCGAGGCTGCGTGGATGCACAAGAAGGATAACCTCTACTACTTCTCCTACTCGACGGGCGACTCTCACTACCTCTGTTACGGAACAAGCGAAAGCCCCTTGGGTCCCTTCACCTATGGAGGACGCATTCTTGAACCTGTTCTTGGCTGGACGACACATCACTCGATCGTGGAGTTCAAGGGCCGGTGGTGGTTATTTCACCACGACTGTGAGCTGAGCAATGGCGTGAACCACCTGCGATCCGTCAAGGTCAAGGAGATCTTTTATGACGCGAAGGGAAAGATCACAACGGAGAAGCCTTGATAGATGCGGCGTGAAGCAAAATGGATTCTTGATTCCTGATCTCTTTCTTGACCATACTTGTTTTTGTGCCGTCTCAACAGGTAGTACTTCTACTGATCCTCCAACCAGAACGACCACTTGACCCTGATATCCATAAGGGCTTATAGTAGATAACCAAGAATTCGCCATGGCAATTTGACGTCAGTTCCTATTTCCCGTCGCTCATGCTGACAAACTTCGAGTACATAAAGTGGTGCTTCCAGCGAGGCATTATGATGTAGGATACTAATAGCAAGGGGGTTGCGGGGGGTATATGGGGGCAAATAGGAAAACTAGGCATATACCTATGACAAAGGGAAGAGAAGATAACGGGAAAATGGAAGAAATCCGTATGGGGTATGTAGGCGATAGCCGCTTGGGTTCGTTAGGCTGTCTCAACAACGCCAAAACGCAACTTATTCAAAGCCTCTTCATACTTTGCGGGGCTGTGGTCGATCAGCATGCTCGTGCCAAATCGCACCTCTCTAAACCTAGACTCAACATCTCGGACGTATTTGAGAACAATTCTTTGAGCCGGCCTGCCTATGTCTTCTTCATCGGACAAAAGAAAAGCGTCCCGCCTCAATACTCGCGTCGACTCCACGAGGAAGACTTCGCCGGGGGGCAAAAGCTTAAGACTCATCATGTTAGAGCGCAAAGTCGTCAGCGCCGATACACTCCACTTGTCCTCTTCGGCAGAGCTTGAGCGGCTGCTATTTGTGTACCACTTGTCGGCCAGACCGGACTGGAAAGCCTGCCAGATCCGCTGTCTCACCTCACCTTTTGCCTCGTGGTTGTCGCTCTTGAATGCGAGAGCAACAGCTTGAAAGTCATGGAGCACACCCAATGACAGAAAGGGAACCAAGTCGCTGCCGTGGACGACACTTGTAACGAGCCCTCTGGTGGCCTTGCGCAGCGATGGCGACATGGTTCCCGGCGGCCCGTATGCATATACGTGAATGGGACGACCTGACGGCAAGCACACATGCGTTGTATCGGTTTCTAAGAAGCGGCCATCTCCAAGGAGGCGGCGGTGAGGCTCGGACGATGTGACGAAGCCCGTGCCGGTGGCAGAAGGCTCTGCAAGCATCGTTCCGAGGAGTGCGGTGACTCCGCCGCCGAGTGAATGGCCGCAAAGGACCAACCCGTAGTCACTGAACTCGTCAAGAGACTCCTTCAGCGTATACAAGACGCGGCCATCGCCACCGTACAGCAAACGTCGGGCTGATGCGTGGATGCCCTTATGAACCTTGTACGACTTGCCCCTCCAGTACAAGTTGTCGTAATCGCACGCCATGTCAGCCAAGACATCTTCAAAGCCAAGTGTGCCACGACATGCCAGTACGACTGCCTTGGACTCATGGTCTAGAGAGATATAGTGCACCAAAGGAACTCCGGTTCCTGTCGAGCCAGTCGTGTCAGAGCCACCTTGGGGATCAACAAATGAGGCAAGCAGAATGCTCGCGGCTTCGGATTCGGTATGGTGGGCAAAAGATCGTATCTCGTGATGGGTGTCATCTAAAGCTCTCAGAATGGGCATCTCTTTAGAAATGCCCATGAACTTCAGAAAATTGGATCCATATGATGCTGACGAGAATCGCATATACCGTGTGACGTTGCGAAGTAGATGGAATGCTGGGAAAACTCCATCCACAATGCCGGCCCTTCTCAAGGTGTCGATTGCCTCCGAATCTGTGTAAGCACTCTTTTGGTAGTATGAAGATAAAACCAAAGAAGTTTGCGAGCCCGTTGTCGCGATGCTGTATAAGCTTGGAGTGTTGACATGGGAGCGAGCTCTACGGGACTTCATGGGGGAAGAGGGCTTCTCGTTCATATCCCGTTCTGATCTGGACTTGGGAATGCCATTCTGACCTTGACCATCCCGACGGCCGTAGGCTGGGGAATGCGGCCGGTATCCGTCAAACGTATGGAAAGAATATGTATCTGTTTGCGAGACTACCGAGTCGCGCCGACGCTCGTGCACAGAGATGTAACTAGCCCGTGACGAGCTGCGTGGAACAGGAGAGGGAACATCGTAATTGCGGCCACGCGAGTTCGATGCGGCAGTAGGCCCCATCGCTCTGCTTTGAGACGGATGGCTGGTGGGCGCCGGCGTACGTGTGGCCCTTTCTCGGAGAGGGGCTTTCGCTGCTGGCTTCACCTTCCCGGATGAGTGAGAGCTCCCAGGGCCTGGCCCGTCCCGGCTGAACAGATTGGAAATGTTAGAACTTGTGCCCCTTTTCAATGCTTGCCTGATACCGCCCTTCTTCTCGGAAGGCTTTTCAGAAGGCTTGCCAGACGAGGCAGCTTCACTCTTGGCCCTCTTGGATGCGTATTTGTTATCAGATTGCGACGGGGCAGTTACTTCTTGTCGTGGTTTGACAGGAAGAGGTGCTAGAGGTGCACGTTGCCGCTTCTGGTTGGGGGCGTTCTCCGGGTTCTGTTTCGGGGTGGGAATCTGCGAGGCTCGGTTTCCCGAAGTAGGTGAGGATAGTCCTGGTCCTGCCTTCGCACGTCGAGGCGTAGGGCTAGGCGTCACCTCCTGTCCGGGCATTGAGGAAGAGCTCCGTGATGGCAAAGACTTGGGCGGTGCTGGTGGCGGCTCCTCGAAATCAAGCTCCCGGCCGTGATCATCAGACTCCTCAGTATCGTCCATGCACTCCACTGACCCAGCAACGTGCTCTGATTCTTCGAAGCCCCGGTATGTTGTACTTCGTTGTTTGTTCTTGTCCACCCGGTAGACCACACGATATGTCGGGTTGTCGGTCTGGCGTGCCAGCTCTACCTGGCGCTCGGACGATGGGAGAACTTCGCGCTCGACGACCTCGACTCCTGGAGGGGGCGTGACCATGGGGGGTTCGGGACCCGTGAAGTCGACGGTGATCATTTTTCTCGTCAGAGTCGTGGTGGATATGGACACGCTCGCATCCGACGGCAAGGTTCGCATGATTTGGTTCTTGAGGCGTATTTCCGGGAGATCATCGTCTTCATCTTCACTTGTGTCTTGGCCCCCATGACGTTCGAGAGCGGCCAGAACATTGGGATTGGACTGGTCACTGGGCATTGACACCAGAATGTCGGGGCCCTTGCTCTGATAACGACCCTTGTGAACGCCGTATAGACTGTTCTCGTGTACATCCACCCGTTCCCCATCGTTCAACACGACGACGTCCCAAACAATCTCCTCAAAACCCAGACGGCGAGTTTCCTCCTCCAGAAAACGGCGGCACTTGCGTTGCAGGTACGCCAGAGCACACAGGCCCATGACTAGATCGACAACCCCTACTCGTTCGCCCTCGACTCCGGTTGCTGGGTTCTGAAACTCGCGACGAATAAGAGTGATGATACTCGCTATGGCACGAGAGGAGTCGGTGGAGCCAAAGAATTGATCGAGAGATGACAGCAGCAGCTGGGATATCTCGGACACAACGGAGAAGGTGGTACCAGTCATCTGAAAGCCGGTAGTGGTCCAGAAGACGATCTGTGACATGGCATGGTGGAGATGCTCTAAGCTTCTTTCCAGAACGGTCTCGGCGTCTTCCCTGGCCAGGTCACTGTTGGATCTGGTGAGCATATCCCTCCCGGCCCTGCTGAGAATGCCTTCGAGGAGACCGCGCCCTAGCTCCAGACTGGAAAGGGTCGTAAACTTGGCAGCATCGAAGCCATAGGAGCTGAGGAGGGTGCCAACTCGGATGGCAAGACACGTCGAACGGGTAGCCAAGCTAACGGCCTTCGCAAAAGGAGCTGGGAGCACAGTCCGGCCCTGTTGGGACTCGAGAGGAACATGGACCAAGTAGTGGGAGTTTTCGTCTAACTCGTCGTCTGAATCCATTGTTTGTGGTATCAATGCCGCCGGCGACGCCAATGCGGATGTGAATGTGGGCGCTGGAGCTCGCATACGTAGGTATGAGCATCGAACGAAGACAAGCAACGACGGGGGAAATTGGTCTTGTTTCTGGGTGTCAAGCTGGTTAGGTTGGAACAGATGTTGCGGACATGTTATGCTTGGCACCCTGCCACAACTCTGGTTAGTTTGAAAGAGTATGTTTCGTTGCGTGGTATCTGATAGACCAAGATGGCGAAGAGAAGAAAGCGTGGTGAGAAAAGGAGAGGTAAAGATAAGGGGGAGGCTTCGCAACGCAGTCAGGCTTAAAACAGCCGCCAGCCAGGAAGCAGAAATAAAGGAAGAATGAGAAGAAGCATAGAAGAAGCGGTCGCAGGGTTTAGATGAGATGATGCAGAAAGGGAAGAGGCAAGTCGGCGGACAGTGGCAACATGCGAGCGAACGCAAGTGTGCAGGCGGGCGGGCGAAGAGAGCAGAGCAAAACTAAGTAATGTGCTTGGGAGAACCAGCAGGCCCGAATAGGCAAAGCAGGAAACAAGAGTAGAGTACCTAGCCCGGCGCACAGGACCGCGGGGGCGTAGAACAACAAGGTCGGACGGCGGCACTGAGGGGAGAAGGTGGTAGGGCAGGGAAGGGTAGCACGGCAGGTAGGTTAGGTGAGGTAGGGACCTTAGGTAGGTACAGATAGGTATTGGTAATACCTATTGCGAGAAGGGAAGGGAGCCCTNGTACCTTAGGTAGGTACAGATAGGTATTGGTAATACCTATTGCGAGAAGGGAAGGGAGCCCGTGTGGGCGTGGAAGAGGCAAGGAAGGGACCCTGTCCGGTATGTTTTGGCGTAGGAGAGACGGGGAGTCGGGGCAAAATGTGTTGACCTGGGCTGCGCGGATCAGCGCGCGTCCCCGATCGCTGGGTTGACGTGTTGAGCCGCTGCCGCGCCAGGGCTCCAATAGGAGCAGGTGGGACGTTAGGTTGCGTGTGGCAGCATGTGATTGCATTTTGTGGGGGATGTTCATGCGCAAGGACGGCGGCGAAGACAGAGACGGCGCTGGGGACGGCGGCCATTGGGGCTTCCCACTGTTTGAACTTGTGAAATGGAGGGGAAGGGGAGGCAGTTGTGAGGGGAGGGCACTAATACCTAGCGTAGCGCGTAGCGTGATGGATGGGGTTGGGATACCTACTACTGCATAGGAAGGTATGCACCTACGGGATGGGATGAGATGAGATGAGATGGGACGGCGGCGACTTCGAGTTGGTGATGGATTCGCCCAGCCCCAAGAGGCTCGCCGACCAACGCTAGCACACCCTAGGCGAGCCTGGCGGGAACATCTCGATTAAGGGGATGGTCGTGACCATGGCATGGCACAAAGCCTCGATAACGGTAATGGCAAAGTACAAGCCGTTGTAAGGTACCTTCCATTAGGTAGCCGTGCTTCTTTGATGCCATGGATGGACGTCCAAGTCCGAGTTGACCTATTCTTTCTGTAGGCAGGGTGTTGGGTGCCTTGCAGAACGTCCGTCTGCCTCCGGGTACCTATCGAGGCCACCACATGTGAGCTGGCCCGAGGCGGTGCCTTACTTGGAACCCGAGACGAGGTTCCTCACGGGACTGAGTGTGGCTGCCATCCAAACACTCTTATCTTACCTAGACGCTAGAAAACAAGCTGAAACTGTGGCATTCATCGTCGTTCCCCAGCTCATCCGGATCGCCATGTTTTGTTTCCTGTAGTGCGGTGCAATTCCTGTCTGTGGCTGGCCGTTCTTTTCCCCATCCTTGCATCATCTGTGCGGCTCATCCAACCTTTATTGCAGTACCTGCCCTGATGCTCTCTAGCATGCATTCCTCCACGTTGTGCGTATAAGTGGGTAAGTTAAACGCTAGGCTTAATTATTCTCTGCCTTCATGTGAATCTGTCATCCTTTTCTCGAAGGCCTTCTTATCTTCAAATACATTACTGTCCACGACGACCCGGGAATGGGGCTATGAATAGATACGCGCAGGCCAAGCCCTCAGATCATCCCGTCCAGTGTGGGATGCGGGCAAGGGGGGCCCCATCAGCACTGATGGGCCCCCTTTTCCATGGATTGCTTTGTGCTGCTCTACGGGATACCTTAAAGTACTCTAACTTACCTAGTATTCGTACCTTCGGTGGAAACAAGCTGCTGCTGCTGCTGCTGATTCCATGGCATCCGACAGCCAATGAGGTGCCACAAATCGCCGGCCTGCAAAGGCGGAGGGTGGCAGACGTCTGTAGGTAGTCGTGTTTGGTGGTAAGGTATTTGGCGATGCATTCCGGCAACGCTGTCAATGATGACGGCAGGGGCTGATGGCCATGGTGGGGGGCACCTTCATACCTAGGTACCTAAGGTGCTACCTACCTTAAGGTAAGGTAAGGTAGTTCAGGGACACTGAGGGGCGCAGGTGACCAGGACCCGGCAAGCGAGCTGCGAGGCACCTACCTAAGGTTCCTTAGGCACCTAGAGGTACGGATACAGGCTCCCGTTACACCTCCAGCTTGGAAGCTCAGCACAGCACAACTCTGCTCAGCTCAGCACGACACGACACCAGGGTTCAACATCCAGTCCCCGTATTTGTACCCAAGGTACGGTTACCGTACCTGACCAGGTTGCCTGAGATCTGCGATCCAATGTGGATGTCGCCCAGTCCGGCGGAGAGGGGACCAAGTCTGCAAACATCGCGTCAATAAACCACAACATCTCCCCCCTTCTCACTTTCTTTCGCCTTCTCCTTTGGCTCTTCTCCCTCTCTCATCCTCTTTTCAGCCCATCCATCGCGTGGCCTTCACCGCTTCGCTGTCTTGCTCCCTCGCTGACCCAACAACGCCTGCTGCTCGACTGTCTGTTCCTCCCCCCAACGAAATTCGTCACCGCCTCACTCGTCTTCCACCAAGCCCTCGACTTGCGCAGCAGAATTTCGATTTCGATCCAACCCGATCACTTTCCCCCTGCTATCGAGGCCGAGTCTCCGGAGGTTGCAACGCGCAGAAACTCCGTCACAATGGCTGAAACGGGCCTCTTCTCCGATAACCTCATTTCCCCCGCTGTTGCCTCTGCGCTGCCCGAAGGCTACGTCGTTCGCGCTCTTCGCCTCTCCGACTACAATGCTGGCTTTCTCGACTGCCTCCGCGTCCTGACCACTGTCGGTGAGATCAGCGAGTCCCAATTCGCCGAACGCTACAACTGGCTATCCAAAAGCGATGGTTACTATATCCTCGTCATTGAAGACACAAGTAGGAAAGCTGTTGTTGGAACCGGTGCCTTGATTGTCGAGCGCAAGTTGTGAGTTGTAGCCACCGCCTTGCAGCTCCGCGCTTGCCGCAGAAGATTATTGCTGACCGCACATTTCCCCTCCGCGTAGCATTCACAGCCTGGGTCTGGTTGGCCACATCGAGGACATTGCCGTGGCAAAGGACCAGCAGGGGAAGAAGCTTGGACTGCGTATCATCCAGGCCCTTGATTTCATAGCCGAAAAGGTCGGCTGCTACAAGAGTATTCTCGATTGCAGCGAAGCAAACGAAGGCTTCTATGTCAAATGTGGATTCAGGAGAGCTGGCCTGGAGATGGCTCACTACTACGAGGGAGACAAGAGTAAGGCCCAGTAGCCTGCCACTTTCCTATTCATAACCCTGGTCGCCGATATCTTGGGGTGTCATGTCGCGTCGTTCCCCGTCGTGCAGTCTCTTCGCTTGGATCGAATCGACTTGACGCGCCTTGCCAGCGCAGTCCGGCTCATCACCCTGTTGCGCCAAGGCGAACTTGGATTGCATCGGTGACTGCTGCTGATGGGTTCCCGCAGGACTGAAGCTCTAGATCATGCGAGCACCGAACTCGCTTCGGAGGACGATGAGATCGAGAAGTAAGAGCGACAGAGAAATAGAGACGATAGATGCTCGCTCACGGATCATGCCTTCCTTAGCCTCGTGTGTTTACCTAATACTACTATTGGTTGCCACCCCTTCCAGGTTGGCTGCAGCGCAATGATCGAAACAAGGCAAACCGCACATCAGCTGGTCCTGACCGCGCTCCCTCCAAGCGTTTCTAGCCCGTCCGTTGCTACCTTCGGATGACTGGCCACCCTGCTCGCTGTGACTCTATCTGAGGAACCAACATGCACTAGCTGTTCGCAATGAGTGGCTGGTCAGCCCGTCGTATCTACCTAATACGCAGTCAGCCAGACTGCTGCTGAGTACTGGCTGCTTCAGACAGGATTGGGCTTCTACCGTCGCCAAGGATGAGGTTGTCTCCCTACGCACCAAGACCACCTCCAGGGTCTAGCCGTTGTGTCTGTCTGTCGCAGCTGGTCGGGGCGTCCACCATCGGATCTTGGTCAAAGAGCGTTATGCCCCGCGTTTCACTTGCCATGAGTCGGATCAGACTCACCAGAAATGTCATGTTCAGACAGGAAGGCACAGCAGCGTCGCGCAGACTGCATGTTGAACATGGTTCACTCGTCACCTCAACTGCGCTTGCTTGTTTTCTTTCCTTCATGTGTTGTGGTTTAAGAACATTTCGCCAAAGTTCATTCGAGGACAGTGAGATCCAAAGACACAAGGACAAAGAACTGTTGCGTCCGGATCCGGCTGATAAACACAATGCACCAGTCCGGGGGATCTCCGTCATCAACCCAGTTTTCCCGCTTCCTTCGGAGCTCCCGTGCTTTTGTCCACCACCTTGAACGCCTGAAGAATCTGACGTACCATACCTGACACTTCCGGGCTTGCACAATTGTCAGAGTCAAGACCTGAAGCGCCTCACAGATCTTCACATGCGTGGCCAAAGCGCTGTCCGTCGCAGATGAGCTGACGGAACCCATCCTGATCGATGCGCCGCCCGTCCCGTTCGTATAAGACGTGCGCCGGTCTCCATGTCCCCTTTATTGGTCTTACGATCGGACAACGGATATCCCCAACTACAACAGTCCGAGAAGCCACCACCGAAGTATATCAAGCCTGCAAGTCCACCCCTTAAAACTCCGAGCGCACTTTCATTGGATCCCGAAAAAGCGACTGCAGATCGAACGTTGTCCTATTTAAATTAGCTCTTTGCGCCTGCCTTTCCAATCTGCCTTCCGTCATGATTGAAGACTTGCATTGTGCCATTGCTCGCGTGCGAATTGCTTCACTACAGTCAGAGTAAGTCTTCTGTACATCCAAAGCCAGGAATCAACCCCGGCTACTGGCAAGCACGGCCCAATGATCTTGTAACTCATGAATTATAGGGTCATTAGTAAATCGGCCAGTCGCGAGGTCGTACGTCGAAGAAGCAACAAAGTGAAACCCGTCTTCATCGCCAAGGGTCGACTACCACTTTTCACGAAGCAAAGAACCGTCCGCGTATTATCTTGAAACTAATCCAACATGTCGCCGCACAAGCTTCCTGAGATGGATGGTAAGCGGCAATGGGTGATGGGCACTGAAGCCTTCGAGCGCAAGATGCCTCATCACCAGGGAATCAAGGCTCTCTGGGAAACCAAATGGAAGTTTCCGGTACGCTCCGTGGCAAATCGTGACAAACTCCAGGCGCTGACCATTATAGTGCACCAAGAGCGTCTACCCTTTCCATGACGGACAGTATGAGGACTTTGAGCCCATTTTCGAGCACTTGATCAAGGTATGCTTACCAGAAATTGTGACCTTCAAATTGTGACGGAGATTTTAGGAAAACATCAATGACGGAACTTCTGCTGCATACACCGAGGCTTTTTTTCCGATCGCCGAGGCTCTGACAGCCAACGGCGACAGGGCGGCGGCTGCGGGCAAGAAAGACGAAGCCAGCGACCTGTACCTCCGAGCATGCACCGTGTACCGCATAGCGCGGTTTCCATACATCACGGCGTACCCTGAAGTCAGCTGCCCAGTCAAGTGGAAGGCGTGGGAGGCTCAGAAAGAGGTGTACATGAAGGCGGCCCAGTCATGGGATTGCCCCATCAGCGACATCTCCATCCTGCACAAGCATGCCAAGGGCGGCGACCGAAAGTCCATTCCGTTCTATGTCAGAGTTCCTCACGGCGCCTCCAAGAGCAATCCTAGCCCAGTCGTCATTCTGATGACTGGTCTTGACGGCTACCGTCCTGACAATACGGTCCGCTCAAACGAGTTCCTCGCGCGCGGCTGGGGAAGCGTGATTGTGGAAATCCCCGGAACCGCCGACTGCCCCGCTGACTCCGCCGATCCGGAGAGTCCCGACCGTTTGTGGAGCAGCGTCCTAGACTGGATGGCTGCCGATGGCCGCTTCGACATGGACAGGGTCCTGGTTTGGGGCCTTAGCTCCGGCGGATACTACGCCATTCGCATCGCGCACACTCACAAGGACCGCCTGATAGGATCTATTGCACAAGGAGCCGGTTGCCATTATTTCTTCGACCAGGAATGGTTGGAGAAGGCGGACGGACACGAATACCCGTTCCTGTGAGTGGACAAAGGTATCAAACATTGCGAATGTTGAGACTGACGAGGCATAGTTTAACTCCGGCGATGGCCATGAAACATGGCTACAAGACGGTTGCTGAATACAAGGCGGGCGTGCAAAAGAAGTTCTCTCTGCTCGAGACCGGGATCATCGATAAGCCGTCCGCTCGTTTGTTGTTAATCAACGTACGTCCACGCACCTTGCCGGAGAGATCTTTTTGACTAACGACATCAGGGCACACTTGACGGCTTGATGCCTATTGAAGACTCGATGATGCTATTTGAGTACGGTACGCCTAAGGAGGCTAGATTCTTCTCGGGAGCCTTGCACATGGGGTACCCCATGGCCAATGCATCCGTGTATCCATGGATGGAGAGCGTCATGGAGAGCAAGATGTAAATACGGGTAGTGCACCGTTGGCTGCAACAAGAACACTCAATTCATGCGGAGACACCAGAAACTTATCGTCAGCGAGAGTGGTGATCATAAGTGCAGATGAACGAAATGTTTTCTGAATGTTTCCCCCTTTTTTGTTTTTCTATTTTCAATCATTCTTTTAAACTTTCTTCTCGTGCACTGGCGCGCGTGCTTATCGGCCCATCCAGCCACCGTCAACGACCAAGACGTGGCCGCTCACGTAACCGCTGGCCCTGCTGGAAAGGTAGACTGAAGTGCCCTTGAAATCGTCAGGCGTGCCCCAGCGACCAGCGGGGATTCTCGCACTGATGCTGGCCAGTCTCTCCTTGTCGTTGAGCAGGGCCGTGTTCATCTCGGTCTCGATGTAACCGGGCGCGATGGCATTGACTGTGATACCCTTGGAGGTCCACTCGTTGGCGAAGCTCTTGGTTAGCTGGGCAACAGCGCCCTTGGAGGCGGCGTAAGCCGGAACAGTGAAACCGCCCTGGAAAGAAAGCAGGGAGGCGTAGTTGATTACACTGCCTTTGCGGCCGGTAACGGGCGAGGGCTCGAGAGTGAGCATGTGGGCGCCGACATCGCGGGTCAGGGTAAAGACGGAGTTGAGGTTTACTTGGATAACCTGCGTTGGCGGGCTTTATTAGCTTCCAGACATGAACCGAGGCGATTGCTTCACTCAATTGACTCACGGCATTGAAATCATCGTCGGGAAATTTCTCGCACGGATGGCGCTTCTGGATGCCGGCACAGTTGACGAGGATCCGAATCTGGTGGCCGTCCTTGAGAACTTTAGGTACGAGGGCGGCAACGCTCTGTTGTGAGCTGAGATCTGCTGTGTAGATCTGAGCCTTCCGACCCAGCTTCAGGATTGAGTCTCTGGTGGAGGTGTTAGACTCGTCACGCTGAACGAGAAGAACGTCTGCTCCGGCCTCGGCGAGACCAATGGCGACGGCGGCACCAATGCCCCGAGTGCCTCCAGTAACGAGGGCGGTGTGACCCTCAAGGGAGAAGAATTGCGAGGCCATGGTGTAGATTACGATGTAGGCGTTCTGCGGGTATCCCGAAAATCTTGGGTGGGAGGTGAGGAGACAACGTGCTGAGAGCGTGTCCAACGAGGGGTATTTGAGTGACGAGAGGCTTTACGCAGCACCCTCAGCTAGCTTCGGGTCGGGGGGGGGGGGGGGGGGGGGGGGGGGNGGGGGGGGGGGGCAGGGGGATGAAGAAGATGAATGCGATTCTATTGGACGAAGGGGCGGCGTCGTGTAGGTAGGCAGCAAGCTCAGTGGTCTTTGGGCAAGTTAATTCAGACGGTAACTGATGGGGATTCACAGTGGTGAGGTTGTGACGATGGCCACGAGGTGCCCCTCACGGGCCATGCTTGGACGGAAGAAAGCTTACTCGCATGTGCCTGGGTGGTTAACGGATTCAAGCGACGTTTATTTCTAGAAGGAGCTGAGGGCGACGGATTAGCTCAGTGAATCGCTCAGACGGCTAGAGATGGTCATAACCCGCGGAATGGGTTATGATTCAACCATACGGCATGGAACATGTACACTGTACATGAGCAGCTTGCAGCAGCAAACGTTAAAGTCAAGACTACAACAGTCGTTACCCCTCAGCTGCGGGGATCCGCGACAGCAGGGGTTGTCTCCAACCACGTCGCCCTGTGACGTCGTTTGCTTTGGGCAATGCGCTTGCAGCTTTTCTTGTCGTCGACATTTGTTTACTGTGGAAATTTCTTATGAGCACGCGGCAGAAGTGAACGAGTCGGGGTGATTACCAGAACTGGGTTGCTCCTGATACCAAAGATTGTGCGAGGCCCCGCGAACACCATCACACGGCTCGATTGACTCGGCTCTGGTTAGGTGGGAATTGTTTTTTTCCCCAGGTGGCTCTCCGGCCCCCCACGTAAGGATGAGAGGGCTGCCCGGTCTGCTCCCCGCATATCGGAGCTTCCAGAGCGGGGGAAAGACAAGAAACCGTCAACGGCAACTGTCGGCCATGGTCCGTTACGATTTTTTGTGCTTTTCGGCAAAGCCAACAGAAGCCGAGTCTTGTGCGAATCACCGGCGGTCAAATCGTTGTCAGCATCAATCCAAGACGCGACGAGCTCTGGGCTGCCCTGAAGCAGGCAATGGAACGCATCATGGAAGGCATGTACATTGACCTGGCGCAAAGCTTTAGGACATAATTGCCCTCTTGGGTCTTCACGGCCATTTTCTCCAGCTCAAGCGTCGCCTCGACGCCGCTACCTCAGGGTAGACCCTCATGTTTCGGCGGGCATTGCCTGGAATGGATGGGGGTCAGTCCTCCACGAGTAGGTACTTACCCCTCCCCCTCTTCTACCCCTCCATTAGGTCCCGACTCCCAGCACACACCTACTTCAAGGTAGGTAAAGGTAAGGTCAGGTACTCACGATGGCTTCCTCGTCTTCGCTGCCGGACAGAATGCCGAGCCATTAGCCACGCCTACCCAGTGCAGTGTTCGCCTGGCCTTGACCAACCTAAGTTCCACGTCTCCACCACTCCACACAAACTGGGTTTATGAATGTGGTGTGTCTGCGGTGGTCTCTGCTCTCCCCAACACTCTCTCCCCACTTGTACCCAGTACTTGTCACGGTGCCTGTCGCCCTACTCCCCACGTCCGAGGGGCTAGTGTAGTGTCGTGGTTGACGCTGTGTCTGAGAAGTTGGGGAGCGATTCGGCGGCAGTTCTTGTACTCGAGCTTCAAACACAACTCGGCCTTGGAATCCCGTAACCCTCGGCCTTGCTCCCCCACTGACCAGTGAATTGCCTCCTCAGCTTCTCGACACGAACCCGCATTTCCGACCTGCATCACTCCGCTCGTCGCGTCCGCCTCCAATCGCCCCCTAGCGTCGTGCCCGTCTTTTCAATCGTGTCATCCGATCCGTCGACATCGGACCTGTCGCCGTGCTCCCTGAGTCCCTCATCGCCTCGGCTTTTCAACAAAACATTCAGATAATTGCCCCCACTACCCACGCACTCCTGTGCCTTGCCAACGTGCTGCTACTGCTGTTTCTCTCTGCTCGTCTCTCCAAGCCTGATTGCTTCCACTCCACGTATCCATCTCCAATCTAGTTACTATCGTCGCTGCCGTCGCATAAGGGCGCAATCATCATGTCCAGCGTTCAAGTTCAGACCTCCGTCCTTCATGGCGCGAGGGATCTCAAGATTGTCAGACATCCCCGTCTCGACTGCCAATCGACATTCTGAAGGCTAATTGGCGCAGGAAGAAAGAGCTCTGCCCGCTCTTGCAACTGGCGAGGTCCAAGTCGCTGTCAAGGCTACGGGACTCTGCGGTTCCGACTTGCACTACTACAACCACTTCCGCAACGGCGACATTCTCGTCAAGGAGCCCCTTACTCTTGGCCACGAATCTAGCGGTATCGTTACTGCTGTCGCCTCCGATGTCACAAATCTTGCCGTCGGAGATCACGTTGCGCTCGAGGTCGGCCAGCCATGTGAGGCCTGTGACCTGTGTGCCGTTGGGCGATACAACATCT